TCGAGGTCGAAGGCTGGCTTGCATGACATAACGGCACTTTCCAGGACATTTGATTCAAAGGCTAGATCCAGTGTGCACTGACTTCCTCTAATCTTCCATATGATTGTTCCTTTGAGGAGTATGAGGTTTAGGTCATGTGCTCCCAGCATTTAGATGAAGCTGTCTATGATCTTGTGGTGCCTAAGTACTGTCTACCACCCCCACTGCGGATGATGCACATTAAAGTCTCCGACTAGAATGTGTTGGCCAGTTGGGATAGGATTTGTGGTAGCCACTTAAGTGTCCCTTTCTATTGTATTAACTAGGCTATATGGGAGCAGGACGATGGATACTCTTGGGGAAGTTATGCTCACAGTAGGTCTCTATAGTCGCTGTCGCGTGTGTTCTCGTGATATGTAAGACTTGACTCTATTTTCTCGTATAAAGGAAACTTAGTTACAAAATGAATGGACGGAGGTTGAGACCTCCTTATATCTTGCTCCAGACTTACTGTGTTGTTCACAGCCTAGTGCTAGAACTTTCCCCTATGATATCATTTCTCTCCTACGAGAAATGACCAGCTCGTTCTCTCTCAGTCCATCAGTCTCTCGCTGATTCCGTTATCTCTATTCCATCTAGTTCTAGTTTGGTCCAGTATACTCACACATGCATCACACATGCATTACACACTAAATACCCTACGGTTTAGTTCCACAGTCACGTGCATATGCTATGACGCGATCTAAAGCATGTACCATGGTAAGTTACATGGATAACACAACACTTTCTCTAGGCTGCTGTGGTGTTGTGGGGGTGGATTGTAAACATTAAGTATCCAAATTTTGCCGAGACAGGTGTCGATACTGACAGAGGTGATATCTCCTTGGGAATCTTCGGGTACTTCTTCTCTTTTCCATTTACTAGCATCTAAATCTTTTCTAACGTAAGTGCATGTCCTACCTCTGTGGCCACTTGGAAAGACTTAGTGGTAGGCAGGGTGGGTAACTATCGTTTGTTCTGTCGGATGACGGCACGGTTCTTGTAAGCCCACTACGTAGTGTTTCCGTGGGTTCAAAGCTTGAAGGAAGTATTGCTGTCCTTTATTATTGCTCCTATTGACGTTGTACTGTATGATGGATAGGGTTGATATGCCCTTCATTGCTCCATCTCACTTTCAATGTCATCTGCTTGAGCTGCCAGTGTCACAGTCCGGGGCGCACTTTGTTCTTGCGTTTGTCTAAGATTGGAGAAGAGTCCTTGAACTCTAGGAGTCACAAATGGAGTTTTCCTTGGTCAGCCGGGACATCTAAGACCGACCACATTTCCATCGGCTCCTAAGATTTGAGGGCCTGCAAATCCATCTCTTTTTTTCCTGCTTCCGACCAATTGCCATTTGTCATCTTGGCTGGAGAAGGTGTTGGAATTTACAATAATAGGGGATATCAAGTGGGCCACGTTACTGATATACGCGTGACTGAAAGTTCTGTACTTAGTTTCACTTCGGTAGTTGCTTGAATTAATGCTCTCTACAACCTCAATGACTGAGAGGTCATTATTTCCTTAATAGTAGGTGTTCAAGCTACCCAGATTCTACTTCGGAGAACGGCCTGAATGGTGTACCACTGCACCACACAACCCTTCTCGCCATAATATTGTATTTGTATAGTGACAAAGGCACACTCAAGTAAACTTAAAATTTTCACGCTTCTTCCCATGGAGGGTACTCGCGGAAAAGATTACATGCCGTAAGCTTAACTCTGAGTGGTTTCTGGAAATGAATTCTGAGTGTGAGGATTCCAACCGTCAAAATGATTCATTCCACACAAGATGTTTATCTTCCAGAAATACTCGCATGGGCGTTCAGGGCGCCAATTTAGAATAACTGGAAATTTTAACTTAATACTATTGGTGTAAATGTCCTGGCCTCACTTTCCAATGTTAGTCATAGATTTGTCATCTTCATTATGAGTATTGGTATCTTTTGCAGAATAGGAGAATAGTATTAAGGAAATAATGACCCCTCAGTCATTGAGGTTTTTTGTTTTTTTTTGCATCAGATTTTAATTGCGTATGCAGCTATCTAGCTATGACTCAATATCAAATAAAATTACAGAATAGATGATTCAACTTAAGAGAAGAGCACTCATGCCACGGATTTCATTTGCAAGTACCACTGCGAAGTTATCGTGGCTTTTTCTTCTCCCCAAGTAAACCCTCATCCGTGAATACCCACCCAGGGGAACGTCTCAAAAACCCTGAGTTATCCAGACATGCCTCCGTCATCCATCAACTTTTCTCCGCGCGAAATATGATCTGAGATGTCTCCTTCCCAAGTGAAGTAGGTGCCCAGACTACTCAAACTATACCAGAGAACATCACCAGGAGGCGTATCACAACACCTTCCATCGTTTGCTTGTGTTTATAGTGTTAGCTGCACTCTCGCAAGCGAAGTCTTGGCGCGCACAAAGCCCGATTCATAAATCTCTTGCCAAAATTCAAAATGACACGCCCGTCGAGTTTGTATCCTTCCTTTGCATCATCTTGTGAACTTGTCCTAATCCCTCTCACGTCCATCCCAAAGAGCTATCTCCCAGATTTGTGCTCCACGCTTTGCTTCCTCCGTCGGGTATAAATAACGGCGTGGGCGTGTATTTGGTGGTCGAGGCCAGAGAAAGTGGACGAGAGGTACGGTCATTGGGATGAGGATGTACTAGGTTGTACTTGTAGACTTGATGAAGATTAGTTGAGAATCGGACACTTTGGGAGTGAAAGATTGACATGGTGGAGTAATTTGAATTTTTGCCTCGTGGGCCAACTTGTTCGATTTTGCGAAATTTGACTGAACTTGGCTCTGGGAGAATATTTCACTCCCAGGTTCGTAGAGGACACCGCGTACAGGTGTTCAGTCTTGCCCTCCCTGTCATTGAGGTTGTAGAGCGCATTGATTCAAGTAACTACCGAAGTGAAAGTAAGTACAGAATTTGTAGTCACGTGTGTATCAATAACGTGGCCTACTTGACAGCCCCAATTATTCTAAATTCTAACAAATAGACTAGATTCACCAACACAACCGTAGAAACGTGACTTTCAGTTTACGAACTTTGCATCGTGTTTAAGCATCTCGAAAAATACAGGTTAGGGTTAGGAACTTTGGTATATTCTCCTAGCCCTCTCAGTCTGCACTCTTTTGGTGAGTATGAAACTGTTACGGGCCCAAGGGTGTGAATTCCCTACACAGTACTTAGGGGTTCCACATTTCATGTTGATCTTAGGAGACGCTAAGTCCCCCTTTGTAAAATATCCATGTATGATAAATCCTTCGCGACCGCGTCGTGTTTAGTACTTTTGTTATTATCATTTTAGAGAATCAGAATAGACTTCGATAACTTCGTTTGATTGATCAATCACGACTCCATTTCGTGACAGAAACATTGCTCCGCTACTGCCCGTCGTCATCCTGCTAAGCTACCTAGCTGGCCCACTTACACGGCAGTTATACTCCGCCGTCTCGCATTATTTTCTAGCTCCATGTAATAGTGGAGCAGTCGTGCTTGATTGTTTGGAATAAGGTAATGTAGGACAATCTTCTTTTAGCGTCCAAAACTCGCTCAGGTCTCCAGCTAAGCCGAACCACGCTTTAGCCATCACATCTTCATCTTAATTTCTGATTTGCGCCACGGAAAGAAGCAAAGGTCGTATGGAAACGTCTGGAAATCTTTGGGAGAGTTTGTATGCTGTAGAATAGCTTAGTCTATCTTTTTGCGCCGTTTAGAGCTATGAAGAATCCTGTAGATTCGTTAATAATAGAAGTTTCCTCTTCTAGTCTCAGGGATAAGGTTTGGATGGCGTCTCATTAGTTGTGCGATAGAGCCAAGCTAGTGGTCTGGGTGGTAAGTTACTGAAAAGAAGGGGGCTAACTCGGTGAATAGTTTTCTCCTAGAAGATGTGAGTAGGTAAATCGTGACGGTAGAGCTTACACATGGGTCTAGCTAATGAAGAGCTGGAAAAGTAGATTGTCGGTCTTTCCGAAGAAGAGACGATAAAATAAATATATTAAGCAGGTAATTGGACAAGACGCTGCGTGACGAGAGAGCCTATCATACGCGAATCCAATACATGCACAGATATATGCATTTGCTAGCCCGAATTAGTCAAAGGTACTACTCAACAGTTCCCTCGAGTTATTGTGTCCTCATCATTCCCTTCATGACTCTTTTAGTGTTTATGAGCATAACTAGTTATATTAATCCTTGCATATAAACCCTACTTTTACTTTATTTGTTATAATTAGTTCACTATTCCTCTCATTATGGTTAAATATTAGTAACCTACCTACTGATACGTTAAATTAAGTGATGGAATTCATCTTACAACTACGAACTCCACGGTAAGAGCTATAGGTCTGAAGTGGATACCGCTAATAGGCCATTATTCTTCTTATTCATGTCGGACTCTCTCTATAATAAGTAGATTCTTTTTTCGTGATTCTAGATGCAATCTAATAAACTAGAGTCCTCTCAGGATCATGGATATTAGTTAGGAGTATAAGTATGGAGATTAGGAAAATCGAACATGGGTAGATGGTATAAGACAGGAACACTAAAATGCAGGACTAATCAAGTGCGCATGCGAGGTATGACTATTGATCTAGAAGTATGTCCGCTGTCGGTATTCAGTGGCGCTTGTTGATCTGCTTGTTTGTCACACCATATGCCCCTGATTGTATCCCATGAGGCGCTATGCAAGCCAATCTTACATGTTCAACAGCCATTGAACTCTTCGCAGCTATGTATGAATCTGTTTATGAAATATTTTTCAGTCTTCCCACTACATGATTACCCAAAGGTCTACCGCATTGTATGCCATAATTATTTAACAAATCGATGAAATTGAATAGGTTGGCGATAAATGATGGCCTACGAGGAATCAGCCCTTATCAAGGTGACTGGCAGCACACATGGAAGTTCTTTGACACCTTTCATAGTAACCGAAACACCGTCTTCGATTATGATTTAGCTTTATCATCCCTGAAATAATAATCCTGCAGCATATTCAACATTTCCACCGCAAGCCGCCAAAGCTTGTGTTGCTTCGTTTATAGAAAACCCCAATGCTACTAGTTGCTCAATATCTTTAGTGGGAAACGTGGGCCGTTCGATTGGCACTGAAGTTTGTGACGGTTTTCGGATTTCTGCCGTCCGGGAAGTCTGGTTATCGCCTGATTTGCTGTGCATTGAAGTTCCTGTAGGTCGAATGATCTTAGGTAGCTCAGATTCAAAGAATTTTGGAATATCTGCTTCTCCGAGAAAAGGTACCTCGGTGCCTTGGATAACGAGCTTACCTTGAGATAAGTCGATACATGCCTGATGACGTTTGAGCATGTCTAGACCTAGGAGTAAATCGACATTTTTACCCTCCATGACCGTAAAGCTGCAGGGTAAAAAGAGGGACCCAATTTTGATTTGTGCACAGTGGACCTTTCCAATAATCGCGGCAGTACCTACACCACGTGCTACTCCAGCAAAGCGCTTATCTACTAGTCGCATGATGCCACAAGATTCGGCACAAGAGGGCGACATTATTGTAGCTTGGGCGCCAGAGTCAACGAATGCCTTCACTTTTATACCGTTTACCTCGACATCAATATAGAGCATATGGACGTGCCCAAAAACTGCCATAGTAATTAGTGCCCTCTCTCGAGACGTTTTATGCTGACGAACCTTCGGGGTTATGCTCTATGGCGCTTTGGAGATTCTCTTGAACACGTTCCTCTCGAATAATTTCCGCAATCCTCGATTGGGCATCGACATCAAACGGATCCGCATTAAGGTCAGCAATCTGTTGTCTTCTCCGAGCCTGCTCGATCCTTTCCTGATCTTTCATCTGGTTAAACAAAGAAGCAAATCTCTCAGGGCTCTCGATCACATCTATTAGCTCTGGTCGTTGGCTTGCAGCTTGTGCACGTGCTGAGGGATTTCCCAGCAGCTGTAGTCGAATCGTTTCAGCGTCTACATCACCATGCAGGGCTCTTTGTCCTTGTCTTGAGGATGTTTGGTTTGTGCGCTGACTTCCGAGCTGAGTAGACCTATCTCCCACATCTCTCACATGTATAGCTAACATTTCGCCGTCACCGATATTTAGCTGTTCTAGGGTTTTAGAGTCATTGCTGAGGAGTTGTCCGTTGTAATAGAGATTCTGGGAGGCTATGGGAATCTGGGATTCTGCTTGGATAAACTCTTTGAGTGTAAATACTGTACAGTCTGGAGGCACTTCAAGCGAAAAAATACCACTGTTGTCGTTTATCCCGGCCGCTATGTTGAAAGTTATACGCCTTAATTAACACGTTAGTACTCTCGAAATGCTTTTTGGTCTGGATCTTGGACGACCGACATGATGTTGCTCAATAATGGTCACTTGAGCTGAAGACTGGATCATAGACGGTGGAATGGAAGCTAGTAGGTGCAGATTTCCGTTGGATGCAAGGTAATTGATCGAACCACTCCCGGCAGAATGATGCTGCAATGTAAAAATTTGTCCTTTTGAGGGGTAAGCTCTTTACTGTTGACGATAGCTAGACGAGGCTGAAGACGAAGTTAGAATAAAGCACGCCATTCGAGGGAGATGTCGAAAATCTTATCACATCCGGATGAACAAATTGTAGGGGTTGCTTCAGTACATGATAGTGTGGGAATATTTGTTGTTGGTAGTCATTGTCACCATCATATTCAATCAACCAAATCACGAATAGCATGTAGTGGAAATGATGTAGTCTATCCAACTATGGATGACAGCTAACCCACAATTCCCGCGCTTATCCGACTAGACGGTGGATTAAGCGTGTCTGCTTCAGCGTAACTGGACATCTTGGCAGACTTGCGTACATGATCTACTCAATTCATCTCATCATATTCTGATGGATTACTATGAGGTTTAGCGAGCAGATGATCTAGCTAAAGGAATGAGGCCCTGATTACATCTGAATAATGAGAATTTTGAGTCTTTGATGTTTATAGTCTAAATCAACGCACTTTTCCATAGATAGGAAGACGTGTCCAATACGTACTTGTCGATTCTAGTTTGTGAACATGGCTTGTTCAATTTAATAATATGTCTTCATCGTTAAGATTTTGTAGCCATGAGTAACCGGGGAGACCTCCCTTCCCATGTATAAGCCCGCACGGATCACCTAGGATACCTGCATAACTCCCAGTTCCAAGCCCCCAGCTAGTTACTTGTCATATGACATATGACTGTATAACTGGAGCTGATTAAACATAAAATACCTTCATAAGTCTCTAATTCTACACCAAATGAATTTCTCTTATCAACTAAACAGCTTCTTGGAGGACAAAGACTGGACACCTATCTGCGGTGTCCTCTACGAACCTGGGAATGAAACATCCTCCCAGAACCAAGTTCAGTCAAATTTCGCAGTACTAAAGAAATTAACCACCTCCATAATATTGGACTCAGATAGGACTGTAAAATAAATCTGAAGAAGTTAGCTTGCGAGGCAATCATTCAAAACACTCCACCATGTCAATTTTTCACTCTCACCGAGATTGATTCCTACCTTAGCCTCATCAAGTCTGCAAATACGGCCAAGTAAACCCCATTTTAATGACCATACCTCTAATCGGTTATTCTCTGGTCCCAGATGGTCACTAAATATACGCCTACAACAATTCTAATACCCGCAGGAGTACAAGAATCGTGGCATACATGTTCAAGAGGTAGTTCTTTGGGACAGGTGTGCTAGAAATCGGAACAAGCTTACAAAATGATGCAAAGGAAGGGTACAATCTCGACGGGTATGGAATTTTGATGTTAAACAAGATTTACATGAGGAAGAGCGATGTTTATGCCAGGCCTGCGATTGCGAGGGTGCAGCCGACACTGTAAATACGAGCCAACGATGGAAGACGCCGTGGTCCATCTCCTGGTGATGATCTCCGGTATAGTTTGAGTAGCCTGGGCACCTACTCCACTTGGGAAGGAGATACCTAAGGCCACAATTCACGCGGAGACAAATCAATGAATGATGACGGCATGTGTAGATAACTCAGGGGATTTGAGACATTTCTCTGGTGGGTATTCACGGATGAGGGTTGACTTGGGGTGAAGAAAAAGCCGCCATAACTTCGCAGTGGTACTTGCAAATGAAATCCAAGGCATGAGAGCTCTTTGATTTACTTGATTCATCTATTCTGTACTTGTTGTCTGGTATTTTGTCACGGTAAAATAGTTACACACACAATTAAAATCGGATGCAAAGGAGTGAGCCGTTCGCTTATCACTCATTTTCACTGCAAATAACTTCTCCACGGTGTCAGTAGATAAGAAAGAGCGTATGGTGATGTAACCTTGGCCTTGAGATGGTGTGGGTATCTTGTATCACCAAATCATTACAGTCAGACCCCTTTTTTTTTAAATCATTGAATGTGTATTCAGCTATGGAGCTATGACACATGACCGGCACTATGTACACATGTTGGATGACTCTTTTGACGTTAGAGACACTCATACTCTGGATTTCATTTGCAAATGCCACTATGAGGTATGTTCGCTTACACAAACAGTCGACCCTCCTCCGTAAGTACCCACCAAAGGGAATTTCAAAGCCTTTGGTTATCCAAGCATGCCTTAGTCATCCGTGCATACCAGCGCCGCGAGAGAAGTGGTTGTGTTTTGCCGGATTTGAACCAGCGATCTACTGTCTCGAGTGTGATATGTGTCCAAGCTATCTAGACTCTTCTTGGCAGACCAGCCAAGACGATGTACCACCGCACCATCCAGCCATGGCGGTATTTATAGTGTCGCCTGCACTTTCGCAACCGAAGACTTGGCATGCACAAAGCTCAATTTGTAAAAACTCCTTTCCGAAATTCGAAATTTCACGCCCTTCGAGACTGCATCCGTCTTTCGCATCAACTTGTGAACTTGTCCTGATCTCTCTCACGTCCATCCCAAAAAACAGTCTTCCAGATTTGTGCGCCACGCTTTACTTCCTCCGTCGGGTGTAAATATCGGCGTGGGCGTGTATCTGGCGACCAGCTGAGGCCAGAGAAAGTCAATAGGAGGTGTGGTCATTGGAATGAGGATGTACTAGGTCGTACTTGTAGACTTGATGAGGCTTAGGTAGGATTCGATCTATTTGGGACTGAAAATTTGACGTGGTGGAGTAGTTTCAATCATTGCCTCGTGGGCCAACTTGTTCGGTATTGCGAAATTTGACTGAACTTGGCTTCAGGAGAATATTTCACTCCTAGGTTCGTAGAGGACACCGCGTACAGGTGTTCAGTCTTGCCCTCCAGTCAGACCCCTGTTAAGACGATGTAATCGGGGCCGTGAAAAATATCGTCATATATTGGATATCGTTTAAAAGGATATGATTACCTTATCCAGCTATCTAGGCTACTTTTTACTTTTGATACCTCTTTTATACTCCCAATTGCCGTCTTTAATCGTTCTAATATACTCAAGGTCAGGCCAGTTTCCAGCTCGCTGTCGTAGCGCAGCAGTACTTGTAGCTTTGTCGAATTTCGCAAAGGTCTTGTTTGAGGACTCGGAGACTGTGGACTGGCTTAATCGATGGCCGTAATTAGCGAAGAACCACTCAATGCATTGTTTTTGTGTTGGTTTTGTGACCTGGCGGTGCGCCCATCGTCGCAGAACATGTCGTTGCTCTACAGAAATTCTCTTCTTTGGCGGCATTATTAGCACCAATCTAACAAAAAAACCCTGATTAAGACGATACTCAGAGGTTGAAGAACGATAATCGTGTAATCGGTAAATGTATGGGAATGAGGTTCGTTCCGAAAAATATATCGTACAAATGGCAATATCGTCTTAACAGGGGTCTGACTGTAGTCTGTAAAGTATAACTTGAAACAGCTTGTAATACTGAGGCTCCAAGTTATATTCTATTCAGATAGAAAATTTTTTTCTATGCGTCCGTGCTCCGCGACACGAAGAGCCCTATACAAGCATTTCAGTTTACAGGTGTCTCGTCCCATTCAAGAAATTTGTGTAATATCCTTACTTCCGTGAACGCTTGGGAATGAGGAAAGTGTATTGGAGATCGGACAAAATAAATAGTCGCATCGCTATTCCGCATCCGGGAATCGAACCCGGGGCTCTCCGGGACGTTGTAATGAAAGCGGAGTATGTTAACCCCTACACTAATGCGGATGATCAGCCAGGACACTTTACATTTATATATCATATTATTTGAGCTTTTCCATATTTCCTGTCGAATGAACCGATTTTTATTTCACCTCAGTGATACAAATCTAATGGAGGTGCACAAGGCACGTCTTAGATAAACCGATATATTTATCTAAAAAATAATTGCCCTGTCATATTTTCAACGACATTTTTGGCTGCCTAGTCACCGGTCACAACTCTTCATTCGGTCGCAATTCCATTTTCAATCGCCTCCATAGCGATCTAACACCCTTACCTCACTTCAACACCTTATCAATCTTTATCTTCCCACCACCCTCGAGAGATTCAAACCAGTAGACCCATCGTACCACTGGCGACCATGCCATCGGTACGAGTTACGAAACGCCAGCACTCGCTGGTGGACTACGCCAAGCTCCGACTACGGTCGCGCCTATTGGAGTACGGCATCACCATCGATGAGAAGGACATTGATAATGCCAAAGCTGCTATCACCACTAAAGTGATGGATGCCCCGGAGATCGAGATGATTGAGAGGGCCGTCGACGAATTCGTCACCAAACGCCTATCCGACTCCATATGGGCTGCCGCAACTAATTCAGGCAGCCCTGAGCCAAGTCAGCAGACGGAGAAATTGATCCCGTCGCCAACTACTTCTAGGTTGTCAGCAACCTCATCGAGAAAGATCGCAGCCTTGCCCACAAGGCTGCCAGAAACTGACAAAATCACCATGGCTCCATCCAATGCCGCCCGTGATGAATTCCTGGAAAGAGGGAGTGATGCGGAGCAGGAATCGAACATTTCTGTTATCCCAGAAGAGATGGCCGTCCTCGTCGAGAATGAAAAACGACGGGCAGCAGAAGCAGCTGCCAATATCTCAATTTGCTCCTCGACCATCAACGTCGTGGAAAAACACCTTTCTCCCATGCTAACGGGAAAACATAAAAACTTTATTGACTCCTTTCGAGTCTATATTCGGGCATCCGTCGCCCAATTCATCCAGGTAGGGCCCGGTGCCGCCCCACCAGTACTGCCTAAGGTGCCAGCATTTCTGTTAGAAATGGAGACACGGAGTGTTGTGAACGTATGGGCCCTCCATTTCGTCTAGGTTCCCGACACGATCTCGTGTTTATTTAAGAGGTTAGAACAGGTAATATGGTAGCGCTTCAGGCTACCTATTGGACATATGAGCGGCTGTATGGCGTGGGCGCAAGGAGGTTATTGGGGGTTTTCTATGCCTAGATGGCGCC